TACTGAGTTATATTTTTTTAATTCAGCTTAGAAATTTTAATTGCGACCGCTTGACCTTGCGGGCTTTTTACAATCGATTCCTTTCTTTTTTACAGCCCTCAAAAATGGATCTCCAAAAATATTCTAACTGAACCTATGCAAATGAAGTAGAATATGAAGAATATGATGAGTACTTAGTGTAAAGTTACGAATATGATGTGTAAAACCTCACATGTGCACCAGTATACGCGTAGTTGCAGGCGCTTACGCATTATCTTCTCCGGCCTGATAAGCGGCCTCCGGCTTATCTCGCCGCTAACCTCGGTCGCTACAGGTAACAGAAATTGTGGCAGGGCCCAAAAATGTTCTAAAATAGCATGAATGAGTTCGTCGGACTAAGTACCAAAAATTTTCATTCATATTAAGCTGGCTGGTTAGCACGGAGCGTCCCGGGATCGGTAAACTTTGCAATTATAGGATCCTGCCATCCAAAACCCGTTATTCCTAATCACGCTAATAAGAATAAAGCGAACGTTTGCCTATTAAAGGAAGACCCGGTCAAGTATTCATTTTTCCTAGAGCATGAAAATCCAAGCAGATGCCAATGTCTGGCCATTGTCTCAATCAGAAAAAATTACATTTATTCCGGGAGCATTTATTTTTTCTTGGCGTTTAATGTTTGTTTTCGTTCATACAAACAAATGCGCCTGTAAAAGTGTTTTATATGCGAGTATACAATTTCATCAATATCGGTAAATTTATAACGCTTTTCCTTCGCACACGCTCCCTTAACGAAAAATGAATGCTGAACTTGCGTCCTGGTTTGATATTTCATGTCGCTTGAATAATGACAACAAGAGTCGTGGGAGAGAAAATCTGTTTTCTTTTAGAAATTCCTTAGGCGATAACGAACAAAACTACCGGAGTCCCGCAGCTTCCATCGCTCTTCTGGAACTTGAACGAGGCCCGAGAAATGATCCAAAGTGGAATGAGTTTTTCAGATGAAATAAATGCTACAGTTTTTGTCTTACTGTACCCTTACTTACACGTACCCTTACTTTTAAAAGACCTTCTCGCCTGCTGAATTACGGTTGAGTTACTAATGAATTACTGTTGTTTATTACTGCTGAATTACCCAGCTGAATTATTTGACGGCAATGAGACATGATCTTCTTTCTTTGCTCGACGACCTCATTCCTGCACGAACTGTTCGTGTCCCCCAGCGAGCCTCCGACCCGTGGTTTGACGACGAATGTCGCGCCTCGAAGCGTGGTGTTCGGCTGCTCCAGCGGGCTGTCCGTCGCGCGAGCAGACGTAGCGATCCTGCTGCTGGAGCTGAAGCGACGTCCAACTGTAAAATTTTTCATTTATTCCAAACAGGCAACTTTTTCCGGAGTGGCAATGGGTCGATAATCCTGCAATTCAGGAATCCCGTCGTCCCAAACCTGCTATTCGAAATCACTGTTATAATAATAAAGCGAATGTATGCTAACAAAAAAATTCCAGTTCAATCTCATATGTTTTCATAGATCCTGGAATTTGTGTAGATTCTTGTTTCAAAATCTGAAAAATTTTGTCTTTTGAATTATATTCGTGAAACAATATCATTCTCATAAATTTGAAGACCAAATTCTAATTCTTGATCGAATCTTTTTCTCAAAGTTTAGCTATGCATTGCTATCCTCCATTATTAGATACATTTTCAGGTCCCGGTAACATCCCGACACGACAAGTATCCTGGATACGCGCCCCAACAGCCCTCGTATACCATATAATGCATACCAGCCCCATATACAGCCATCAAGACCAAGAAAGAAGCCTACAAGCGTTATTTACGAACTTGCAGCGATTCTGATTATAACCTGTACGCAAGAGCTCGAAATCAAGCTAAAAAATAGCCTGTCGCACTGCAGTGAAAAAATGCAGTGAAACTGCAAAAAATAATCAGAAAGCCTTCTTTTTGTAAGCTAGTTCGAAGTGTACGACAAACGACGGTATATCTGATTTCAAAGTAGACCAACGAAAGATTTCCTCCGATGAGGGCAAGGCTAACGTTCTTAATCAGTTCTTCAGCAGTGTGTTCACAGATGAATATTTGAACAGTATTCCAGATATTGAGGAGTGCCCAATCGGCTCGAAGTTAATTAACAGGTTTTGAAATACACGTAGAAGAGGCTCTCAAGCGCCTGGTAGCTCTAAATCCCAACAAGTCATGTGGACCAGACGGCTTCCGCTTCCATCCCAGATTGCTCAAAGAATTAGCACCCGTTCTGGCCGACCCATTGACAGTATTCTTTCAAAAAACCTTGAACGATGGAACTTTGCCGTCCGACTGAAAAGAAGCTCAAGTAACACCATTGTTCAAAAAAGGTGACAAAAGCAGCCCAGGTAATTATCGCCCTGTCAGTCTGACAAGTGTTGTTTGTAAGCTAATGGAATCTGTTGCCAGGGAAAGGATTATCGATCACTAAAGTACAAGCCAAGAAAAGTACAAGGATCGGCAACGGGCCTATCCAGGCCTATTCTTCAATGCCGAAGATACTATACTATACTATACTATACTATACTATACTATACTATACTATACTATACTATACTATACTATACTATACTTGACTGTTCACCATCTCCTATCAGATTGTCAACATGGTTTTATTGCCGGTAGATCCTGCACCACTTGCTTATTGTCTACGTTGAACGATTGGACTCGCCTGCTGGACGAAATGGAGCCAGTGGATGCATTGTACCTCGATTTTGTCAAAGCATTTGACAGTGTTCCGCATGAGCGGCTGTAGCGTAAAGTGAAGTCTTTGGGAATTGAGGGAAACGTACACCAATGGATCAGAGATTTTCTAGTAGGTACACGACAACGTGTCAGTATTAACGGAACCGTGTCAGACTGGGCATCAGCGCGCAGTTGCGTGCCACAAGGAAGCGTTCTTGGGCCTATTTTGTTCGTTGCTTTCATAAACGATCTGCCATAAGTAGTGTCCAGCGTGTGCTCCATGTATGCCGATGACACAAAAGTTTATGATACAGTGAAGGATGCGTCAAACAAAGCGCAATTGCAAGATGATCTTGACAGCTTAGTTAACTGGGCTGATACGTGGCAGTTGCCGTTTAATGCTGACAATTGTAAAGTACTTCACCTCGGGAAGAGCAATGAACAGTAAAATTACAGTATGAGAAGACATGGTTGCAATTAGAGAGTAATGATAGAAAAGTCTAGCGTGGAAAGAGATTTCGGAGTTTACTCCGACAAGGAGTTGAAATTTTCTAATCATGTTGAAACGCAAGCTAATACATTCAACAAACTTCTTGGGCTAATCAGACGCTCGTACGAGTTTCTAGATGCAGATGCGATGAAGCAGTTGTTTGCTGCTGTCGTGCGCCCGAATCTAGAGTTTGGAAACGTTGTGTGGTCGCCGAGATTCGAAAAAGACAAAAATTTAATAGAGCATGTTCAGAGACGTGCAACAAGGATAATTCCAGGCCTGAAAGGCAAGTCCTATGAAGAAAGATTAAAGATTATGAATCTTCCAAGCCTCAGCTATCGACGTCTGCGTGGGGACCTCATTGAAGTATACATGTATACTCATGGTTTATACAAGGTGCAAGAAGGATTACTAGAATTTGCAACAAGAACCAACGCCAGGGGCCACGGCTATAAACTAAAAAACTGCGCTTAAACTTCTCCACGTGACAACATTTCTTCTCACTTCGAATCACCGACATGTGGAACAGCCTCCCCGATTACATCGTTGGCGTTCACAGTATGAACGCGTTCAAGAACAGACTAGAAAGCATAGAATGGAAGTGTCGGCACTGAAGAAATAGGACCATGGCCTGTTGCCGATTCTGGAATTTTTCGTGACTTGATTCACCAGGGATCCGGCCTTTAGAACCCGATCTTTCCATAACTGACGATTGATTGAGATAGCTGCTGGACTTATTGCCTGGTCCGTAACTTGCTAGGCATTTTAAGACTGAACATATGCTCCTGCATAGCTTCGTCTAGTCTGTTCTTGAAGGCGTTCATACTCGGAGCGTCAACGATGCTATCAGGGAGGCTGTTCCGCATGTCGGTGACTCGAAGCGAGAAGACATGTTGTCGCATGGATGGATAAAGCTATGGAAAAATATATGTTCTGACTTGAAATAATTAGCACAATATCGAACCCGGAGGAAGTCTAGTAGCTATTTCAAATTATCGTCAGTACTGAAAAGATTCGGTCAAATGGCACAATTTTGGATCTTCTGTGAACAAGTCACGAAAAGTAATTGAATCGGCGACAGGCCACATCAGGCCTACTCTTCAGCGCCGACATCACAATGTTAAGTTATGTTATACAATATCCCGACACGATAAGTATCATGGATACGCGCGCCCCAACAGCCCCTATATACAATATCACGACACGATAAGTATCCTGGATACGCGCCCCAACAGCCCCTATATACAATATCACGACACGATAAGTATCCTGGATAAGCGCCCCAACAGCCCCTATATACAATATCCCGACACGATAAGTATCCTGGATACGCGCCCCAACAGCCTCAATATCCCGACACGATAAGTATCCTGGATACGCGCCCCAACAACCCCTATATACAATATCCCGACACGATAAGTATCCAGGATACGCGCCCGAATAGCCCCTGTATACAATATCCCGACACGATAAGTATCCTGGATACGTACCAACTGAGACGGAGACGCGCCTGAAGAGCGCGTCTCGTCAGCAGAAAATTGAGCTTCCGGGGTTATTGTTGAGGTAGAAGCGCTACACGTTCATGGCATCCCTAAAGGGAGCCTGATCCTGCTCCTTAATACTCCTGAGTGACAGGCGTCGTATTCATCAATGTAAGGAGAATAATTGGCATGTGAAAACAATGATGAAATTATGATAATACAGCTAATAAATACAATAATATTTATTTGAAAAAAATTCATTTATAAAATATGTACCTGTAAAGTGCAACTACGTTTACGCCATTGAAGTACTTGAGGTACTTACGTGTACGATGGCGCAGCTCGAAAGTGTTCCCAGTCGCCGTACACTTAATACGGCTATATATAGTCACCAGGTTCACACACCAAGATACACAGGTTATGTACACTTAATAAAACTTTGTTTAGGTACACCATATAGTCACCAGGTTCACACACCAAGAAAACATGTTAGGTACACTTAATACGGCTATATAGTCGCCAGGTTCACACACCAAGATACACGAGCGAACACTTCACTGCGCCAACAACACCTCACTCTGAAGACACTTCTCTGAATCTTGCAAGTTTGTGATCAAGTCGCGCAGCTTAGCACGTCGCAGATAACGGCTATCAGGGCAGCAGATAACGGCGCATGCCGGCGTAGCCACCGCAGCCCTCGACCTCGGTAATCCACTCGCTAGTGTATTAAGTTATAATTGGATTAATTTAATCGAGTGGACATCGCTTGTACCTATTAAACTGGTCTAGCAAATCCTCTTCTGACGCGAAGTCACGAGGATGAATCTCCAAGCAGCTGAGGCATGCGAGTTGTATCCACGATACGAGACTGGGTTTATGCGAGGCGTCCACATATTTCGAACGATTGAAACGCGATGCTGATAAGCGCTAATTCTTCATGCCGGGACTGGTGTTGTCAAATTTAAAGTCAAATGCTTTGTTAATTGGAAAATGTACGACATTTGAATCCTTAAAGAATTAACGTTCGATTTACCCTGTTTGTAGTGGTGTCCCCTTTTTTAAATGCAATTTAATTTTAAAAATGTTATGTTTAATTGTCACGCATCACTCTGACAGTCGTGCAAAAGTCACACCTTGCCAATGTAATGCATCTGCATTTGACGCATTCGTTCCTGTGTTGATTACCTTTTTGAATTTCCAATTTCGCGGGGAGCGGCGGTCAGGACAGCGCCACAGAGGACAACGTTGTGTATTTCCATGTGATCCCTCAGGAATACTCATGGCCCGTCTCGGGGCGACAGCGATGATGTGTTCAGCCTTTATGACACCGACCGACCGCTGGCCTTCATCAGCAACTGCGACATCGCCTGAGAATTTACTAGGGCATGAGCTGGTAAAAGAAAGAGACCTCATAGGGTACCGGAGACTTCGTTGATACTTCCGGCAGTAAAATATAGTCTTCTGGCAACAAATCTATGCCTTCTGATAACAAAATGTTGTCTTCTTCCGGCAACAAATCCTAGTCTTCTGGCAAAAAAATCTTGTCTGTTAGCACCAAAATATACCTTCTGACTACAAAGGTTTGTCTTCTGGCAACTGAACCATGTGTGAAGGCAACAAAATCCTTGACGCACATGTCGCAAAATCCATCTCCAGGCAACAAATCCTTGACGCCTTTTAACAATGCACTGCCTTCTGGCAACAAAACCTTATCTTCTGGCAACAAAACCTTGGCATGAAATAATGATTGCAATAGAAAAAATATAACTCAGTACTCACTGCAGTGAGTGACAGAGAGCGCATTTTCTCAAAATCGACGAAAACGTGAAGTCACGGACAGACGGACGGACATGACGAGCACAATAGGGCATTTTTTTCATTATTAAAAAAGTGCGCTAATAATCATTTTATCGGTGCTACCATTTGTTTCCATTGCAATTGTACTAGGTGTGTCGTGGCCAACATTTGTTATCAGGACTCGTAAGCAGCGCCGTGCAGCGCCGCGCCGCTCAGGGGGCGTAGATAAGGGCGATAGCGCCCCCTGCAGGAGGGCTGGGGGGGGGAGGGTGATAACATCATCCTTAAGGGCAAGGATTACATCCACCGCACACCATCCATCATCCACCGCGCACCATTCATCATCCACCACACACCATCCATCATCCACCGCGCACCATCCATCATCCACGGCGCACCATCCATCATCCACCGCGCACCATCCATCATCCACCG